TTCCTTCCTTCCTTCCTTCCTTCCTTCCTTCCTTCCTTCCTTCCTTCCTTCCTCCCTTTTCTTCTTTTTCCTTCCCTTTTCCTTCTCCTTTCTTCTTCCTTCCCCTCTTCCCCTCTTTGTCTTTCCTCTTTCCCTTTCTCCTTTCCTGTCCCGTGTTGCATGCTCAAATGCCAAAGGGGAAGCCTTACTCCTTTCGTTTCGTTTTTAGTTTGTTTCGATAGCCCCCTGCCAGCGAAAGTAAACCTCTCCGAGCTCTTGTTTTCGCTGCTGGTCCTTGGCTGTTTCCAAGGCAGCCCTGTGGGCCTGATTTAAGCACCCCATGAGCTGGACCCTGCCCGCAGGCCTTGAGTTCGACACCCCTGATCTAAGGAATCTTTCCAAGCGGTGAAGGGAAACTCCGGCCATCAGGAAGCCGTCTTCACGACAATTGCTTGCTGTCCTTCCTTTGAGATGCACCTGGTCCGTGGGGCTTTCAACGTGGTTGCTTGCGTGGAAGCTGCTCCTGGAAGCTTTGACCACCCCCTTCCTCCCCCACCAGGTCCTGCTGAAGCTCTTCAGCTACTGTGTCAAAGTGAAGGTCAACCGCCAGCAGCTGGTGAAGATGGAGATGAACACGCTCAACGTCATGCTGGGGACGCTGAACTTGGTAAGGCGGACACGTCTCACCCCCGGGCAGGTCCCGCTTCTCTAAGCTCTGTCCTTCCCTGCTTGGGGACAAGGAAGGGGGCGGCGCCCTGGGCCAGCAAAGAGGCGGCCAAGCTCTCCATCTCCAGCGCTCTCGTCCACGTCCCCTTCGTAGGCTTTGGTGGCCGAGCAGGAAAGCAAGGACAGCGGGGGAGCGGCGGTGGCAGAACAGGTCCTCAGCATCATGGAGATTATCCTGGACGAATCCAACGCGGAGCCACTGAGTGAGGACAAGGTTGGTGCACGGGTGTAAATTTGTGTTGGGCGGGGCGGGGAGAAGGAGGTGGGTGGCCTTCAGAGGCAGAGCGTCAGACCTGCCACCACTTAAACCTCCCGAATAGAAACGATGTATAGGAAAAGGCGTATAGTTCGATTAGAGGTCAAGCGTATCGCAGCCTTTGCATAGCCTGAACATATCCATACTTAATATCATATCCATCATATCCATACTTAAGCCAATTATTTCTAAAGTAATTCCTCTTTTATACATTAATGGATTTCTGTATTTATAATGCATTCCATCTTACATTTTCAAAGAGCAACATCTCCATTTTGTCATTAGATTTGGTTAATACAACATAATAAATGAACCGAGCAATAAATCTAGTTTTATGATCATAAATATAGTGACCAATTTTAAGTAAAGCAAAAAGTTTCTAAAATGATGAGTGGTACAGTTATGAGGGGATGGATGGATGGATGATAAACATTTTTTTTTATGATTTTGGGAAAAGCTTTTTGAAAGGGAAGAGTTATATGTTCATTATAGTGAAGTATAAGGAAAGCGCCAAAATAGCACTTAGCAACAGCGCTTAGACTTACATACCGCTTCACAGTGCTTTTACAGCCCTCTCTAAGCAAGTTTACAGAGTCAGCCTCTATTGCCTCCAGGTACAAAGAGCCTCCTGAACTGAACCAACGACTTTGCTTCCTGCAAAGGTTTCTTCACCTTTGCCTGTCCATTATACCTTATGGGAGGGCCAATCACCTCCAAGCCTTACTCCCAAGTTGTTCCTTTTGTGTCAGCTGCTCTTGCCTTCTGGCAGCTCTGTGCAAGCGCGCCCTGGGAACGGGCTCCCCCTGTTCCTCTGCCTCGCTGCTGCCAGACTCCGAAGGCTCCGGAGTCAGCACCCCACTCCCAGATGACCCTAGCCCCATCTCTGCATGGGACTCAGGCAGGCAGGCAGGCAGAAGCCGGGCTGGTCTCCTAGGAGCCTCTCCGCTCGGCCTCTCAAGTTTGGTGGACGATTCTCTGCAGGGCAACCTGATCCTGACAGGCGACAAGGACCAGCTGGTGATGCTGCTGGATCAGATCAACAGCACGTTTGTCCGCTCCAACCCCAGCGTGCTCCAGGGCCTCCTGCGCATCATCCCTTACCTGTCCTTCGGGGAAACGGAGAAGATGGAGATCCTGGTGGACCGCTTCAAGCCCTACTGCAGCTTCGACAAGTACGGAGAAGGATGGCGGCGCCCGGGGCCGTTCTCGGTCTCTTTTAATGTGTCGTTTTTATATGTATGAATGGATGTATGAATTCTTTATTGGCCCAGTGTGATTGGACACACAAGGAATTTGTCTCGGTGCATAGGCTCTCAGTGTGCATAAAAAGAAAAGATACACTCGTCAAGAGTCATACGGTACAACACTTAATGGGGCTATATAGTCATAGGGCGTATGGTAAATAGAATATAGTCATAGGGTACAAATAGGCAACCAAATCGTACTAGGAAACAGTCAATAAAAAATGTAAGGAAACAAGCAATAAAGTTACATTCATACAGTCATAAGTGGGATGGGGTGGGTGATAGGAAGGATGGAAAGATAATATGGTAATAGACTTTGTAAATAGCTGGACAGTGTTGAGGGAATTATTTGTTTAGCAGAGTGATGGCATTCGGGGAAAAACTGTCCTTGTGTCTAGTTGTTCTGGTGTGCAGGGCTCCATAGCGTCGTTTTGAGGGAAGGAGTTGAAACAGTTTACGTCCGAGATGTGAGGGGTCTGTAGATATTTTCACAGCCCTCTTTTGGACTCGTGCCATATACAGGTCCTCAATTGAAGGCAGGTTGGTAGTAATTGTTTTTTCTGCAGTCCTAATTCCTCCCTGGAGTCTGTGTCTGTCCTGTTGGGTTGCAGAGCCGAACCAGACAGTTATAGAGGTGCAGATGACAGACTCAATAATTCCTCTGTAGAACTGGATCAGCAGTTATTAGATAAAAGAAGAAAAGAGGGAAATTAAGGGAAGGAAAGGGGATGTGAGATACAAGGGGGAAGAGGAAAAAGAAAGAAAGGAAGGCATTGGCGTCCGACTCTTCGTACAAGATGAACACACTCCAACCTCAACTTTTTGCTTTGACACCTGAATATATGACTAGCCTTTCCTATTAACACCAAATCTTTCTAATCCACAAAAAACCAAGGTCAAAGTTTCCTTTTTTCCCCCCCTTTCTTTCTTTGCAAGCGCAACTTCCAGAAGCGATAATCCAAATAAGAACCTATTTTCCTCTTTGGATAAAACGATCCATTTAACCGTTTCTGCTTTAGCTTCCTTGCTATGGAAACATTTTTTTTTTGAGTTTTGTTCTCGTTTCAAACCTCCTGGTGGCTTTTCCTGGCCCCGAAAAAGCCGAACACGACTCAGGTGTTCTTGGCGAGCCCCTCTCAATGCCTCCTTTCCTCCCTCTCTCTCTTTCTCTCTCTCTCTCTCTTTCTCTTTCTCTTTTTCTCTTTCTCTTTCTCTTTCTCAGGTATGACGAGGAACACAGCGGGGACGACAAGGTTTTCCTGGACTGTTTCTGCAAAATTGCAGCTGGCATCAAGAACAATAGCAACGGGCACCTGCTGAAGGACCTCATCCTGCAAAGAGGGATCACCCAGAGTGCCTTGGACTACATGAAGAAGCATATCCCCAGCGCCAAGAAGTGAGAGGCTTGCTTGGGGGTGTCTGTGAGCGGGGCGGGGCCTGGCCTGGGGGCGACTCCAAGGTCCACGTCTTGGATCCTTTCCCCAAGGAACCATCGCAAAGGGGGGGGGGGGGCGGGTTGGAGGACAGAGAGAAGCAGAATCCTTAGCCAGGCTGGGCCCCCGTGGCGGATACTGGCCACCCCCACCACAAGGACAGGGAGGGTTCCCAGCCCCGCCCACCTTTCACTTTCATTCCCCGCTGGGAGGGGAACTTAGGGTGCTTCCCAGGAGGCCCTTTCCAGCCAGGCGGGGTTGGGAGTTGCGGTTTGGCAGATCCAGGCGGCCGCTCTTATTCTCTGGAGGCCGGGATTTTAAAGGCCGCCCCCGCTGTGTAAGCCGGGGACCCCTTTTCGGGGAGGGAGGGGCTGCTTTCATTGCGCCCAAGGGGAGGCGTGGCTGAGCCGTGCTCCGTGGATGCTTCTGCACCAATGGGGGTCAACGGGGTGCTCTCTCCTTTTCCCCCCTGCTCCCCCCTCGGACAGTTTGGATGCTGATGTGTGGAAAAAGTTTCTGTCTCGACCGGCCCTCCCGTTTATCCTGCGGCTGCTCCGAGGACTCGCTACCCAGCATCCGGCCACCCAGGTGAGGTGCCCTTCCTTCTCCTCCTCCTCCTCCCTCCCTCCCTCCCTCCCTCCACCTTTCCTCCCTTCTCCTCCTCTTCTTCCTCTCTC